TTTCACCAACTACAGGAAATTGAAAATAAGGCTTGGTACACAGAAGATTTTCTTAGTGATTAATTACCTCGCATAGACTACGCTATTTAGCAAAGCTCAAGCGAGCTTATAGTTATTTTAAGCCAGGTCTTATGCGTTAATTAGTAGACTACACAACACCAAGGCTAATAATTCACACACTCATAACCTTAAAGGCGAGTCGGGTCACTTCTTAATCACTTCTGCGGCTTGTTTCTACCTCCAATAAAACAAGCTAATTACTCAGAGGCAGATGGAATCAATTGAAGGATGAGTCTGATTTATCCAATGGAGTTAACCTAATGTTATATATCTAAACTAATTTATCATCTAAATAAATTTCTCTGAAGAGAGGGCGCTTAGTGGTCACTTCCTAGCAAATTTTATGATGATCTTCTTTGAGATGGAACCCCTGGGAACTCGGAATATAGTACATGGGCCATATATTACTTCATTACCTATTTTGGCAGAGAACTGTTCGATGTAAAAACGTGTAAGCAAAATAGAGGCCTTGAGGTAATGAACAAAAAACGTCCCCATGGAAAATATGAAGTCTTTTATAAAGCGAAAGTGAATTAAAAGGATGAGTATAAAACCGAATGCTTACCGAGTAGCAAGGTGTAATAGGGTCTCTTGAGTGTCTGGCAAGACATAGGTGAGCAGTTGCGTGAGCCGACTAGCAGGTGGTTCGGTTAGGGCCTGCTGACAACAATATGGATAAGGGAGAGCCTGTCGCTGCTGAGTTTGCTTTACTTGTTGCAATAGTTGTCTTTGCTGTGACTGAATATGAACCGGATGTTGATGTGGGGAGTGCTGTTGCTGCTGATGATGATTATAAGAAGGCCGTTGATGAGAGGCTGAGTAAGGCGTAAGGGTTGTCGGAAGGACTGGATATCCTGCGTAGGGGACCGAACAAGTAGACCAAGTGCGTCGGAAAGCCGGTGTGGTGGAAACCAACTGTTGCTCATCTCGCCTGTCGGCTTGCATGACAGCGAGCAAAAGACGACGAACAGCGGTATCCTCGGCGTCCTCGATGTCTGAAAGCATTATTAAGAGGTAAAACGCCCAAGCTATAAAAAAGGTGAGAAGATATTTTAGCTTTATATCGAATAGACTACTTCAGCAACATAGCTTCCTTTTTTTACATTACTTACAGAGTGGAGTCTGTAATTTATGACATAAGAGCCTCTCACATTTCCCCTGATGGAAA